TTACCTTCACGAATCTTGATAGTCGCATGTAAAATTTATAAAGAGATCCGTATCTAGAAAGTTATTTTTACCTTGACGAATCCGAGTATTCTAAAATTCTAAAATATCAAATCCATGTTCATATTTAATTAGAATGAAGGTGGTTTCTGCCTTTTTTTTTTTTAATGTAGTTTGAATTGAAGACAAAAAAAATAAAAAAAAATCAGTAGCTTTTAATAAAACTCATACCAGAAATCATCTTCAATTTTGTGGATTTGATTTACCACAGTAGACGCCATAGAAAATCCATCTTCATCCTTAATAAGTTTTCTTCCGGNTTTTCCTACTCCATAAACTCTAAATTCTTTTCCATTTTCATCTTTCACCAACTTACAAGTACATACCGAATAAGCAGCAAGAAGACGTAGCAATCGATCAATCATCATTGGAGCGTCTGGATTTTTTGCAGCGGNTTTGGAAGCCAAATCCAGCGGTGACATACAAGTCCCCAAAGGTCCACCCTTGGCCATAATCTCNAACAAATCCAATTCTATGGCAGTTTTTATAGCGTAAGGGANCATGCGTATACCATTTAATTGCGTGATTAGTAACATATCTTCTTCCTCTTGGTCGAAAGATCCTCGGAAATTTTGTGTAGAATTCATATTTAGTATACTTTTGAAAATGAAGAATCAGACGTAAAATGAAAGAGAGCAGAAAGGAAAATGGTTTNGTACTATCAAATGAGCTACGTGCATGTTCTATTTGTATGCAAATGCGCGTCTTTTTAATAATAATAAAGTCACAATCAATTAGAGTACAGTATGTTGATAAGCTATGATTGGAAGACAGGTGTGCGGTGCGGATTTCGGAGTGTTTTAATACCGGAAGTTGAACAAATCACACATTTCCGATTACGTCTTTTTAATACTAATAATAAAGTCACGATCAACTAGAGTACTGTATTCTGATATGCTAGGCTGTAATTGGAAAAACATTTCTATTTTTTTGCGGTTTTAAAAATAAAATAAAAGTAGCTGTGTGCGGAATTCGAAAAGCAGTTATTACACAGCAAATAAAAAACAGCAGTTTTTTTTTGCTAAACAAATAAAAAACCGGAGTTCATAATTGTACACCATACAATACCATGCGAATACTGTATTTTTTTTTGGTTCAAAAACTATTAATTTTTTCAACAATTAATCATCTATATACTAAAGGAGAAACATTTTTGGATTAATTTGCTTAGGTGTCAAATTCTCAAATTTTTGAAATTTTTAACTAAAAATTAAATCATATTATTAATTCTCTATTATACTACTACCCAAACACTATTCAGTCATATTAATTCTCTACTATCCTATTATCCAAACACTACACAATCATACAATTCTT